AAAGCTTATCATAAGAAATGAAGGCATCACTCTACGAACTTTTGGTATGCCCTAAGTATTTTACCAGATCATGCTCACTTTTTCATTAGAAAATATATTGAAAAGGAAAATGGAAATAATATCAATTTATTTTTTTTTCAGAAAATTCTTCGTTCATTTTGAATATAATGGTTCCGAAAATTAATAATAAAAATAAATCCAATGTTGGTCAAGTCCAACAAAAATCGGAAATTAATCGTAAAATAATGGTTCTTGTTCGTGATGGAACATCACAAATCATGTCGATTGTCGATTACAAAAATGTTTCTCTCGTAAACAAATCTGCAAAACTTGAAGTTGGTACTGCAATTACTTGGCAAAATAGTTCGAAAGAGCGTTTTCGTGGTGTTGTCTTAGCTGTCGGTTCGTATAAACGTAATCCAATTGAATGGGTAATTAGAATTTTTTTTAGGTACCGAATCTGAATGTTCGAGTGCAATGTCTATCATCGAAAAAAACATTACAAATCAAACAATTGAAGCAAATAAATCTCAACGAATTCCATTACAATCGTCAATTACTATTGAAGAAAACATTGATGAACAAAATTCCATTGACAAGAAACTTGATGGTGTTAGTGGCCAATCACTTGATACTGATGATGAAGAAGAACAAGAACGTGATACATCATCATTTACCACAAACGATGAATCACTTGGTACATTCCTTTGTTTTCTCTTGTAAATGTTTAAATATTTTTTATCTAGTCAAATCTAATTCTTCTGGTAAACGAACTCTTGCACAAATTGATTTAAATTCAAATGTTAATCAGAAGATTAAAAAACCACGTGGTGGAGTATCAGTTCCATTTTCCGTATATAGTTCGAAGGAGAAAGAATGCCTTCTATTACAAGAACGGATCAATGTTTATGAACAAATATGGATGCGTAAGCAGAAACTGTTTCTTTGAAGTCTTATATTTGTCACTATTATTTTATCTGTGATCTTATAGAGTTTCTTTAAGATAAGTGTCAGGATAACGTACACACAATTGCATTCCAATAATTCTTCGACAAAAAAAACAATTTGTTTATGAATTCTATTCAATATCTCTTTCATATCCTTCAACAAATTGAAGATTTTCTATTGTCATTACAGAAAGTTTTTTTTATTTGACAACAAAATCTTTATATTTTAATGTAAAAAAATGTCTGACTATGAGAGAGAATGTGACATCCGTTAACTCTTTCTTGCATTAATACTTCATCTTATTTTTAGCACGTCCATCCAATCCATCTGTTATTCAATATTTTATTGAAATAGCGAATATTTTAGCTGGTAATTCCAATGATGGTGAACAAGAAGATAAAGATGAAATGTTAGAAAAAATCAAATTAGATTTAAATATGACCGAAAATCAACTTATTATGTGTCATGGACGTAATTCTACAAAAACAGTGAGAAAACTCATGAAGTTTATTTTTCCCAATCCGACAGAAAATGAAACAATAAAAAGTATTGAGAATAGTATTATTGAATCAATCATTAGTATGTATACAAATACATATTTTCTTTTACAAATATATTTGTAAAAAAAGGTTATAAGAAAATGTTAAAAATCAGATTAAAAATCGATTATAATAGTGCCATTATAATCGATTTTTAATCTGATTTTTAACGTTTTCTTATAACCTTTTTTTACATGGGTATTTTAATTTTTATAGAATACACACGAATAGCAAATCCGACTGATCGAACAGAAGATACAGCATTAAGACATGCAATTAGTAATTATCTTTCAGTTCAAAAGTTCAAAAACAAAACGAATCAACTCCATTGAATCATTTTGCTGACAAATTAAATCAAAACAATTGTCTTTACAAAGGAAGAAGAACATTTATTTTATTAAAAAAATGGACATCATTACGAAGGATTTTCTCTTGTTTATTTGATTATATTCCTTCTTCCTTCTTTTTTTGTATAATAGTATGTATATTTTATATTGTTACTACTGTATTGATATTCATTGGTGAAATGCTTTGTTCAAGAAGTTTTGTTTGCCTAGTTCCATTGATATTCTTTTTCTTTTATGTTGTATAATTTCTTATTCAAGCATTGAGACATGTTTGTTTATCCTTTTCGATTTTATGTAAACTGTACTTCTTGATATTAATACGTTTTATTCCTTTTGTGATATTCATTTTGCTGTTCGAAGTTTTTTTTATTGATATGTAAACCCTCTATATGACTTGTATTTTATTGATCAACTATAGATAATACCGATATTTTCGATTGGGTTTTCTTTTTGTTCATAACGGACACTAATGTCTAGCAGAAGGTCAATATTCAGACAGAAAAAAAATCAGCAACGAAATTTCGATCTAGGTGAGATCTTTTCTTCATACTTGGAAAGTCTTAACTTATAAATATCAGTCTATGTTCTAGCACATTATACTAATACTTCTTCTCATATTGAAGAAAACGAAGCATTAGCTGATGAAATTCAAATGATAGAAACACATGATGTTGAAATGACGAATGCGGAAGAAATAACGAACAATGATAAAGTTGATGTGAAAAGCGAATCATCAACTGATGATGAAAATGAATTAGATGCAGAAGATTTTATGGTTGTCGATGAAATGAACACAGATGAAAGCATGTATGCAATGTTAATGAATAAAAATAGGTAGATTTTCTAATTTTCACTGCTTTTGATTTACCTCTTACGTAGTATTATATATTGAAGAAAGTAGAAAATAATTACCTTCATGAAACTTTTTCGTGGTAATTCATACTAAAAATGAGACAACCGTATTAAAGTCGAATTACAAAAGAAAGAAACTGAAAAAAAAATTAATTAAGAAAATATTCTTTTTTGATATGATTTGGATTAGCTTTACATCTTAATTAATTATTGCTGTGCGATATTCTACTAAAGTTAACCTTTTTTCAAATATTTTAAATCATGAGCTGTACCTATAGGGTTTTAACGTATTTTAATATATTGTTCATTCAGCATTTCTAAATTTAGTGCAAATCGTTTGAGTAGTTTTCAACTGTAAGAAAATTTTCAAATGTTCAAGTTTATCTTTGCTTTTTGTTGAATATTTCAGCTCTACAGATGATGCAGTTGGAAATAAAAAACCAGTTACTATGAAAGATATTGCTTGTTTATTAATTCTTTTCAAATATCGTCATCGACTTTCCATCCAATGTATCTCAGATTTACTCAAGTTATTATTATTATTTGGAGTCGATCAAGCACCTCGTTCTTGGTATCAACTAAAAAGTTTGCTAATGATAAATGATCCAACCCTCTCGTATATTTTTCCTTGCTCACAATGTTCTGGTCCATCTACAGATTCCAAAAAATGTTCATGCTGTGGTTATCAATTCTCTTCAACCAGTTGTCATGATAGCTTCATCATTTCGCCAATAAAGGATCAGTTGGACATTATACTCAGAAACAATGCCGATATTGACTTCTTTTCGCCATTCACAAACAATACACTTCGTGATATAAAAGATGGCAACGTTTATCAACAGATAAAAACAGTTTGTACAGATCCATTTCTAACATTAACAATGAATATCGATGGAGTGGAAGTACGAAAAGGTTTAAAAAGATCAATCTGGCCAATCCTTTTTGTTGTGAACGAACTTCCATTAAAACAACGTTATGCTCTTGAAAATGTCATTATTGCTGGTATTTGGTCAGGATTGAAAAAACCTTCTCGTCTTCAAATGAAATCTATCATTACGCCAATTGTAGAAGAATTATTACTTTTTGAGCAAGGATATGCTTTTACGGATTATACAAAAGAATCATTAAATCAGGAAAATGTTATAAAAGTATTTCTTACCAGTGCCTGTTGCGATAAGCCTGCACAGGCACTGGTACAGAACTTACCAGAGCCGACAGGGGCATTTGGCTGTGGGCGGTGCGAACTTGAAGGTGAGATTTTAAAATTATATCATCTACTTGACAACTTCTTATACAAAAAATATCCGTATATGACAGCTTATAAAGTAGTTCTAATGGAATTATTTTAATCGATCGAGAGAGACAGAAATCAAAATTGTGTTATCGCTTAATCCTAAACAATCTGATTGAAGTCAGACTATAATAATGCCAATATTATTATTGGATGTTCTGATTTGTATGGATCAAATATAATTATTTAGATTGATTATCATAATATCGATCAGTTTAATTCGTACTTGAATTCATTTTCAGGTACAATGGTGGAGAGTAAACGTGGTCACGTGCGATCGTTTTCAATGTCCAAAGACGAATTAGAGAACGTCGTACTACGATCCAATGAACGTTATGACTTGCTATTGAAGTTGAAACATCAGCATGAGCAAGGAATAAAGAATATGACGAATTGGTCAAAGAAGAAAAAAAAACAGGTGGAAGAAAAACAGAAAAAAGATGAAAAAGGAATTTTGGGTACTTGTATTCTTCGATATCTATCTAATTTTGATGTGGGTCGAGCATTTATGGCAGATAGCCTCCACAATGTTTATAGTGGTGCCTTCGTAAGTGAAAAATTATCAAAGAAAATACTATTTTTGATTTTACTTTTAGAAGCGCTTGTTGAAGCTCTGGTTTGATGAAAAGTATGCATCGCAAGCTTGGAGTCTTGTCAGACATATAAATAATTTATCATCTTTATTTCTACAAATACGATTTCCTTCTACCACAACTCGTTTACCTCGAAGTCTTCTCGAATACAAAAAATTCAAAGCTAATGAACTTCGAATATTACTACTTTTTGGATACATAATTTTTTCTGGAACGTTAGGTCAAGTATATTATTCCCATTTATTACAACTAGTGGTGCTGATGCATATGGCAGAATCAAGAGAAATACCACCAAACCAATTGTTTCTTATGCAGCACCTATCAAATTCTTTTGTTCTCGATTTTTCTAAACTATATACTTCTAGACATTGTGTGCCAGTGGTACACTCTATTATTCATATTCCACCGACCGTTAGAGATTTTGGACCACTTACCAATTTCACAACTTTCAACTTCGAGGATGTCTTAGGTAAGCTAAGTAATACACAGTTGTCCAACAGAAGCATTCTAAAAATCATCTATATAATATTAAATTTATAATATGCCATAACCCATCAAGAAATAGATTAAAAATTGTTTAATGAAAACCTATAGTTTGCAGAGTAACTGTAAATTATTGATTAGCTATTCTGTGTTTAGATTATTATTAATAGGATTCTAAACTGTACTCGTTCTATTTTTATAATTTTGCTCAGTGATTCATACTTCATCCTATTTCACCATTCTTTGTATATGTTAGACACTTTAAACTCATATCATTGGAACTATTACTTCTAGGTAACCCACGCAAACTGACACCTTTTTTAAATCTATAACGACTTAGTGTAAGCTTTTTATGAAAATTTTATTTGTCTACGTATTTATTTATAGATATCTTTTTAATAAATATTAATATTTCTGTTTAGGTCAAATGACTCGTACAACGAAGAGTACACGTCGTCATGCAGAAGAGATTATTCATAGCCTTAAATTATTTCAATGTTCGATTGTTCATTTAAACACCTTATCATTCAATCACAATTTATCAGAGTTTTTGTCATCACGTCTTGATTATTCAAATGGTAACATATCATCAAGGTTTATAAAACTTTTACACAGAACAAATACAAATCATCCATTGCCATCAATTTTCTTTCCTCAATCTGATATCAAGTGTTTCGATGTGCTGTATGTTAGGCAAACAAGAATTACAACCACCGAATACTCCAAAGGAAAAAAAGCTGATGATAGCAACATAATCTTCCGCCGTAATAACAACAATTTTTTTTGGACGTGTATGCTCAATTTTTTCGGTCAACGACAAACAACCATTGCTATTAGTTGATTATCTCGAACAAACCAATCCATTAATATACACCAACAGCTTCAGTTCTGAGGAGTTAAGTTACGAACACATTAGATATGGCGATGATACAACAAAAAATACTTGCTTAATCTCCATCGATGATTTCGTGGAAAAAAATGTCTACTTTAGGTGTTCAAAAAACATTAATCATTATTTCCGTTTCCCCACACTTTTTCATTCATCTTGAATAAATCTAGCTTTTCTATAAATATTTTATATTTGAGGAAATTTATAAGCGTTGAAATACATTAAAGGAGCTGCAGTTATTCTTCGAGATTACATCTTACTCAGCTATAAGTATATCAAAAAGCGTCAAGTAACTGAGAACCTACATCTTTTTATTAGAACAAACTCTTATTCAACAAAATGTACATCAATAAGTACCATCACAACCGATACTAATTCATCAAACATCAGGTGAATAAATCAATACTTTTCCATTTATTTTAAATTAACTATTTGGGTGGCTTAGAGAAAAATCGATTTTAATAGATTAAATAATTAATTCATTAAAATCGATTAAGATTTCATATGATTATCTGAATTATTTTGAGTTAAATCGATTTTAATAGATTAAATGATAAATTGATTAAAATCGATTAAGATTTCATATGATTATCTGAATTATTTCGAGAAAAATCGATTTTAATAGATGAATATTCAAATAATC